TTTGATCCCCTGCCTCTCACTTCTGACAGTGGCACTGACTTTTATAGAAATCTCACCTTTTGATCCCCTGCCTCTCACTTCTGACAGTTGCCTGACTTTTATAGAAATCTCACATTTTGATCCCCTGCCTCTCACTTCTGACAGTTGCCTGACTTTAGTTTTGACTACTGTGTATCTCTAAGAAAAAATGGCAAACTTAATACAATTTTTTTTCTTGGTTGACACAGGGCATTTTCTTGGCGGTACTCTATTGCTTCATGAACACGGAGGTTAGTATCTTTAAATATTATTATTTTTTAGTATATAAAAGTAGGAACGATTCATTATTATTTATTTATAAGTTGTTGTGTTTTTGTAATATGTACCGCTGAAAATTCTAAAGATTTCTAGATTTTGATCAAGTAAAAAAAAACATTGTGATAATCTCTGTTTCAGAAAATGGAAAACACGTGCTTAAATTACTGCTCACGCAAGTTAACCAATCACAAAAGAATTAACTTACTCTAAATGCAAGCTTACCAATCACAAAAAGTGTTAAATTACTGCACACGCAAGCTAACCAATCACAAAAAGTGTTCAATTACTGCATACCCAAGCTAACCAATCACACAAAAGTGTTAAATTGCTGCACCACACCAGCTAACCAATCACAAAAAGGTGTTAAATTACTGCACTCGCAAGCTAACCAATCACAAAAAATGTTATATTACTGCACACACCAGCTGACCAATCACAAAAAGTGTTACATTACTGCACACACCAGCTAACCAATCACAAAAAGTGTTCAATTACTGCATACCCAAGCTAACCAATCACAAAAAAATGTTAAATTACTGCTCACGCAAGTTGACCAATCACAAAAAAGGGGTAAATTACTGCACACGCAAGCTAACCAATCACAAAATGTGTTAAATTACTGCATACACCAGCTAACCAATCACAAAATATGTTAAATTACTGCATACACCAGCTAACCAATCACAAAAAGTGTAAAATTACTGCATACAAAAATTAACCAATTATAAAAAGAAGTGGTAAACTAAAACTGAACTTGTGCAATATATATATATATATATCATTAAAAGGAGTACAACGTTGAAATAATTCCCACAATAAATAATTTATTTAAAAAAGAACCAACCCTAAAAGGACTACATGTTTCGATGTTCTACACCACCATCATAAAACTAACTCAGAATATAAGCTGTAACATAACAGAAAATAGACATAGCGCTATTCAATTGTACTTGGTTTTTAAAATCTTTTATCTACAAAGATTTTCTCTCTAATCTTGGAGGATTATTAATGAGAACTAGCTTGACGATATTCACCATTGTAACTGTTTAATTGGAGATCAGAGATATATCTCCACAAATTTAAATCACGTTTGATGAGAAAAAAAAAACTTTAAAAATATTGTTTAGAAAGTCAAAAATTGTAATTAATCCGAGCTTTCTTGTGTTGGTGTTTGACGGTAACACATCAGTGGTAAAAATAACGTAACCGTCATAACTTTGTCAGTGATGGGACCTCAAACTTCCCACTTGTAACAGTGTCCTCAATTGTCTTCGTTCATTTTCCGGACCAGGCGTGGCCTAATGGTTAGTGTCCGGGTTGTTAATCCGAAGGTTCAAGGTTCGCGTCTCACTGCTCACAAAAAATCGTGTTCTACACTTTGAGACCGTGGGTGCATAATAAGAGTGATGGTCAACTCCAACCGTTTGATTAAAGTAGCCCAAGACCTGGCGGTGGGCGCTGCTGGCTCGCTGCCTTCTCTTTAATTTATCAGTCTTTACGAGAAAATTCCGAAACACGAGAATGAAACCTTGTTTTTCATTTTCCACAGGTACAATCGGCTCTCCGAAACGCCTACCTTCGTGCTGCTGTTCGACGTAGCGCTACTACCAGGACGCGAGACCGAGGTTACTCCAATACGTCGGCTACGTACTACGACTGCTCGGCCACCAGTAGTCCACGCTTCAAAGGGACCTCGGCAAAAGGGGTTCACATCCACCTATCTGACCTACCAAGCTCAAACGTCTTAGGTAAACAGTCTTGCCGTGTGTAAGGATTGGCGTTTCCGAGAATATCCTCTCCTTCATAAATGTTTCGTCGTTTGAGTTCTAAAAAAGTATCTTGTTTAAGTATTTAGAATCTTGAGATGAAAGAACCCGAGAATACACAGTATTGACCCGAACAACAACCGGGTTTCTTTTTTTCTGGGGAAATACAAATAAAACAACAAGAGTGTTTTTCTTTCAAAGATGAAATATAAGTAAATATGTAAAAGGCCCCGGCGTGGCCAGGTGGTTAGGGCACTCGACTCGCAATCTGAGGGTCGCGGGTTCGAATCCCTCTCACACCAAACATGCTCACCCTTTCAGCCGTGTAGGCGTTATAATGTGACGGTCAATCCCACTATTCGTTGGTAAAAGAGTAGCCCAAGAGTTGGCGGTGGGTGGTGATGACTAGCTGCCTTCCCTCTAGTCTTACACTGCTAAATTAGGGACGGCTAGCGCAGATAGCCCTCGTGTAGCTTTGCGCGAATTCAAAAACAAACAAATAATCTATGTAAAATAATATATATATTGTTATGAATTAATGTACCCCCCCCTCCCAGTCGCACGAGCCGCCATGTCTGGCGGTACTTCGACTTCCGT